CACTACAGAAGCTCTCACCTCCCCTTGCTCAGCTGGTTTTTGCCCCTCTCCCCCCAGTTCAAAAGGGAATTTAGCACAAAAGGGGATGAGAAGAACCAAACAAATTTGATGGCCATCTTTGAATAAGAACACCCACCTCAGGTAAAGAAAACTACAAAGGAAAGGTCTTACCAGTATCCTAATTTCCATTTTTATTATTCCATAGGGTTCTTAGCAAAAACAAGTTACATATCTAGTCCCTTGGTAGTTAGGTTGCTTCCTTTCTTGCTTGTTCTGTGTTTGAGAACTTCCATGTATTAAGATACTTCACAGTCCTTTTTGTTTCTCTTTACAATGGCAGCTCTCTGAAAGGTATTTCCACAGCATAAATAACCTGGCATCTCCCCAGAGCAGGAATAGGGAGGGGTCAAAGCTCATACACAAGAATGCTGAGGGTCCCCCCCCCACGCCCCCTAGAAACATTAATTGTAAAGAATACTTTTCAAATCCATTGCACTATTTAACTTTGCATTTGAGGAAAAAAAAAAATGGCTCTAACCAACCAACCAACAACAAAAAAAAAAAAAGCCACAAAACCCCACCCCCCCTCTGTGAAGTTATGCCCCAGGACAGGATTTGCCTAGCACTTCTGAAGTTAGGGCTGTACGTGTATGAGCAGCACCTTCAGATGGCAGATCCAGTATAGTAGGTTTGAGAATGGCATCCAGACCAACCAGCCTCGAAATCTGTGGCCTAAGACCAACCTTAGCCAGGATGACCTTGCTCCCTGCAATAGCTTAAGTGTCTTGTAGTATTAAACAAAAGAAACATTTGAATTCCACTACTTAACAATGCTTAGCGCAAGAATTAAGTGCTTAATTACCAGCATTGTTTCCATGATATACACATACTGTTGATATTAGTTAACAATAGGGAAATGTATTTTTAATTTTTTTTAAATGAGTTAGAAGTGCATCATATTCCACAATACATTCCACAGTGTGAATTCAGTTATTTTTTTTATTAAAGATTAAAAATAAAAAACATTTGACATCCTAATATACATAAAGTCACAATAAACTCAAATGTGCTAAAAGCAAAATGTGCATAAAGACACTCGGTTCTAAAAGGCACCCTGCCACCAGTATCTTTTAAATGTTTGTCTAATTCCACCAGGTTTCTAGTTTTCTCCCCCTTCACTGAAGGTGAGACTAGACTGCTACTGCGTACAGATGCTAACAAGACCAACCCCTTTCAGGGGTCTGCACTATCACTAAAACACTTAAAACCGTGCATGCAGACTTAGCTCGAGCTTCTCATGGAGTTAACCATCACGATTTAAAATGCACAAGGGCTTTTCCTTAAAAGAAAAAGGTAGTGGTATTCGGGCCACTTATAAGGGCCAAGAAAGAAAGAGAGAGGGTTATAAAATAACTGCTGTGTATCCAGAGAGCTTTGCTACTACAACCCAACTCCCTCCCCCTCCCCCCTTCCCAACCTCTCATAAAAACAAACCCCTGAAGTTACAAAATGCCACACACAGAGATGAAATGTTAACGCGTTCGCTATTAGCCTGTCAGGGTGTGACAGCGTCAGAGTGCCACTGATGCAGTCCCGGAGAGTGTGCACACACTCCCCTCACACGCTCACATACACACACGTGTGCTGACGGTGCCCGCGCTGCCGTGGGGCCCCTGGCTCTCCCGCATAGGTAGGTCTGCGTTGTCTCCCGCTCCTCCCTTACCAGGGTCTCCACATGGATGTGGGCAGGCCGGGCGAGGGCAGCTCTCGCGTCTGCGACGCGTCCAGTCCGTCCGTGCGGGTCTGGCCCGGCTCGGCCTCCGCCTCGTCCGAGTCGGAGCAGGTCTCTTCGCTGGGGGACGGCGAGGGCGCCGGGGCGGACAGGGCCAGGGGGGCCCCGGCAGGCAGGGCCAGCAGCGCGGCATCCCCCAGAACGTCCGTGAGCGAGTCCGGGCAGCCGCCCTCGCTGAGGGGCATGGACTCCAGCAGGTGGTTGAGCAGCTCGGCGGCCGTGGTGGCGTCGATGCCGGGGCAGCTGGAGACGAAGGTGTGCACCTCGTGCATGCACTGGATGTACCCGGCAGCGAAGCGCTCGCTGGCCTCGAGGAGCCGCCGCCCGCCGCCTGGGACACAGAGGGGTGCGGGTGAGGCGCGGGCCGGGCCAGGCGCCCCCCGCCGCCCACCGGGCCCGCACTCACCGCGGGCGCGGCGCTCCAGCACGGCCCGCACCCGCCGCACCGTCCGCTCCAGCACCTCCGCGTTCTCCAGCTTCGCCTGAAACTGACCCAGAGCGGCCCGGCCATCAGCGCGGCCCCGGGCCCCGCCGGCCCCAGCCCCGCCGCGCCGCCGCCTCACCTCGCTGTCGGCCAGCAGCAGCCGCAGCTCCCGCAGGCTCTCGTTGATCCGCGCGCGGCGCTTCTTCTCCACCAGCGGCTTCCTCGTCTGCGGGGACAACAGCGCCATCAGCCCCCCCGCACCGCCCGGCCCGGCCCAGCCCAGCCCCGCCCCGCTCGCCGCGGCCCCCGCCGCTCACCCTGCGGTCGTTGCGGGGCTCGGCGCAGCCCCGGCCCCGCAGCGAAGGGTCCGTGCCCGGCGCCATGGCGGCCCCTCAGCCCCACGCCCGCCCCGCGCCGCCCGCCTTATATACCCCGCCATTTGCATGTCAATGAGCCCATTGGCCGCGCCGCGCGGGCCGCGCCGCGCGTGGGCCGAACGGGCCAATGGGCACCGCGCGCTTTGTCTGCGCCGGGGCGGGGCCGCGCGGCCGCCGGCGCTGAGGGACCGGGAATGGGAGCGGGACCGGGAATGGGATCGAGACTGGGGCTTGACACCACCCGGGAACTCTCGGTCCGGGCTGTGGGAAGGGGACGTGCCCCTGCCTGCAGTGTGCGGTTCCCCGAAGCAGCGGGTCGTGTCAGTCCAACCCTGCAGTGAACCCCCAAACACCCAACGCTCGCTGCGGGTTCAGAGCATCGGGACACGCGTGACTGCGGTTCCTCGGGGGGCCGTCGGTGCCCCTCGCTGCCGACAGGGACCGACCTGGGCATGAAAGAGCCAGTCTGAGCTCTGAGCGGGAACCAGCGGGACTGAACAGGCACAGCTGGCCGGGGGCCAAGTCTTCCTTGTCCTGCCCCATCCCGGTGGATAGGGAAGCTCTGGAAGCCGGGGTTTGGGTGCTTGCCCGTTCAGGCCATGCTGGGCTGTGCTGGACACCAAGGCAGTGCTAGACACCACGGCTGCCCCTCGGGGCAGCCCAGCCCCACGGGCTGCTCGCCCGCCCTGTGGCCACGGGCAGCCGGTCCCCGAGCACTCGGTGCCATCCCCGGGCGCGTCCAGCCCTCCGCCTCCCCTGCCTTGAAGCGCCGGGCAGGCCGAGCTTTGTGCGGGTAACTTGATGCTGATGACAGTTGGCAGCTGCAGTTCCCCCAGCATACTGAGGCAAATAAAAGCATTAGGGCTCGTCCCCGAGGAGAGCGACAGGTGTTCGCTCCCTCTCCTTTGTTTCCCTCCTTTTATTCTCTTCGGTAATGCATGTCATATTTTTACCCCCTCCCTCCCCCCCCCTCCCCCGAGGAAATGGGAGACGCGTCACCCGCTTGACTCGGCACTGCCGCACGTTCGCCTTCCTCTGTGTGTCCTGCGTAGCTCCCCTCCCGCTCCAGCTTTCTCCCGGTTTGTTTCGCCATGGAAAGCCCGCTGGTTTTGGTGGTGCTGAGGTTATCCTTGCCGAGAGGTCTGATGTGAGCCGCGGGCGCCCGCAGCTGGGTAGAGCCCCGTGACCCCCGGCTCCATCATTTGTTATGGATCCGCACCTGCAGGTCGGTGCCTGGTGTGTCCCGCGTGGTCCAGCGGGTAACGGCACGTGCTCTGGGTAAGGCTGGGGTGGCTCTTAGTCCCGCTGTTACTCAAGGCTGCTTTTCATCTCCAAAGCCCAGTATTAACACCCGTGCCTGCACTATGCTAATCCATGTCTGATAAAAAAAGAGCAGACTGGGATAGAAAAGTTCAGCACCATCTTCTCAAGCCATCACAGAGGAGCACATCAAGGATAGAGCTGACAGTGTGGGGTGTCCTGGCTGGAGACCTAAGTTCAGGCCCCTCTGCTTTTTGTATCACAATGTACAGGTGATGTTATTTTCAAAAAGGTATTTCTTGCTGTGTTTCTTCCTTTTATGTTAAAGCATCAGTGCTTGGATTTTGTTAGAGTTTGTCCAGTTGGTGACAAGTTTCCCTGCACCAGGCAGGAGCAGAGTAGGATGTGTGACTAAGTCTGTCCTTCTGCTTTTGATGTACCCAGTTCTCTGTGTAACGCAATGTTGGAAACTGGCTCATTCTTTTCATTGATATAATTAATGCTGGCTAAGCAGAAGTGCTGTTTGGACCAGGCCAGGTACAAAAGATTTTTGTATTTAAGTGAGTAGAGACACCTGTGGCTGCATTTTGTTTATGTTTTATGCATTCTTGACCTGGCAGGGGAAAACCACAATTGTACAGGTGTAAACTGCAGTGAAGGGTGTCACAATTTTGGAGGAGCCATTTTCTTTCTGAAGCAAAACTAGGCACATAAGGTCTGCAGAGGTGTATAAAACACACAAATATACTCACACATGTTTATAAAATATGCAGTAACCCACAATGTGTGTAATCATGGCAAAAGATGAACTCCAAGAGTTTGCAAGCTTGTTTTCCCTTCAGGGAAAGCTTTGCTTTTCCTAGAACTGGGCTGGGGGGAGGTGAGTGAGCAGCTGCCTGGTGCTTGGTTGCTGGCTGGGGTTAAACCACAACACATAAGTAATCAGGTGCTCCAACAGTGGGGTTAACACTGGTGTAAGTTCTGCTGATTTACACAAGAGGCATTGCAGCTCTGTGGCTGCAGGTGCAGCCCCCTAACCTGTCAGGCCTCTTTACTGCAGGTGTTGGTGTCAGCTGTGTTTCAGAGCTAACTTAGGCTGGAGGATTAACTGTTAATCTAGGAAAATGTGAAGTGGAGGAGTTCCCAAATTCACCTTAGTCGAAGTTCAGCTGTGTTAGGACTTGGGTGATCAAATGCTGGTGGCTGCTGAACAGCAATGATTTCTCACAGGACTTGGATCTGTGTGGTTTGAGCAGTGAGGAGCTGCAGACATAAGTTGAGGACTTCTGGATGCACAAGAAGAGGAGACTCCACCAGCAGGCTAGCAAATCTTGGCCAAGGATGGCTAGAGAAAGTTGGCTGTGGCCAAAACATCCTATTTCTGTTCTGACTGGATGGGTGCTGATGGTAAGGCATTGTACACGTTGCTAGCTCTTGTTCTGCAGCATGTCTTTTTGTATTGTCTTTGAAAAGCTGCAGGTCAAATGAGTTGACAAATGCTGGAGCTGTTTGTGCTGGGCATTAAAAATGTACATGCCATAAATATCAGGGCATCACTAGAGCTGCCATTCTGGAGGAGGGAGTCACTGCAGGCTATCTCCTCTAGCCCCTGGGATAATGGGATATTTTTGTGCTACTTTAAACAAGTTCCATCATATCAGGTGAGGCAAATCATGGTAACCTCATGCATTTTAATAGAAATGTCAACTGCAATCTAGTAAAAGAAAATGTTCCTTAGATACTTTGTCCAGTACCTCAGTGCTTGCCCATGCATGGTTGTTCCTGAAGGAGATTTCTTTCACAAAACCCATCAACTTGCCTGTATCATTCTTTCCAGGTTAAACCCATCCTGCTCCCTGCCGATAGGGAGGTGTATGGGCACTGCTTCCTCCTCTATGGAGGGTGGGAATTTAACCTTTGCTAGAGTGGGCAGCTCTGTCCTGTCAGAGATGGGCTCCTACACGTGCTACAAATTGCAGTCTAGCCAAGGAACAGCACAGTTTTAGCAGATAACAGGATCTGTGCCCTGCTGCACATGCTCTCCTGCAAGCCTATGCATAGGGAAGTATAACACAGCATACAATAACAGGCCTTAATTCTTTGTAGTTGATGCAGCTGGGGTGGTAAGGGCAGCTGTGGGAGGCAATCCTGCAGCCTCAGCTATGTGCTGTGTGATTGGGAGGGCCAGGTAAGAGGCAAATCCTCATGACATGGGGAAGTCTGACATGTAATGCCTCACACAGGTGCATTTGGAAGGTCTCCAGCTCCCAGGAGTACATCCACAGAGACATAATGAAACTTTAAAAATTTTTAAGTACTCTAAAGGCCAGTGTGCTGCCATCTGTGTTCTTGGACTGGAAGCACTGGTGACCCAGGCTCTCCATGGATAATATAATCAGAGCACGCAATAAAGACATGATGAGCATGGACAAGGTCCATTGGAAATGCTTGAGTAGTTTCTTTCATAAATGGCATAACATCTGTTGTCGTTGGAGGCACAAGTTCCTGTCAAAAAGACACGTCACCCTTATAAATATTAATGGTGCATATAAATGGTGGTGGGTGTGAACTGCAGCGGATGTCAGGTTAATGGGTGAATTGCTCCTTAGGCATCAGTTTGCTGTCATCATACTTATTTCTACACTAACAAATACAAACTGTTTAGGTGGCAGAGCAAGCAAAGAGCTATCTTCCCCCTCCTCCTCTCCCTGGAGTCCCTTCACAAATGAAACTTGTACTGTAATTAGTCTCCTGCCTTGTCACTAATGAAAATTAGTGCTGCTTGCAGGGCCGAGGAGGAGGGGAGCATGCCTGGAGCCAGAGGAGCTGAGGCTGTAGGTGACAAATGAAGCAAATGAGGAAGGCTGTTTGGAGAAGTTTGCAGCATTCCCCATCAGCTTGATCCTTACTGCCTTTAGTGCCATCGATTTCTCTGCTGTTAAAAGCTGATGTTTAAGAGGAAAATAGGGTGGAATATCACCACTGAGCTGCTCTTGGACTCCAGTCTGTTACTGCAAATTGTGTTTGCTGCCTTGAGCACTGAGGTCCTGTTGCCCTTTTCAAAAACCATAAGGCTTTTCCTATCTTTTTTTTATTTATCAGCAGACTTGGCAGCAGCACTCGTGTTCATCAGCTGGGGCACAGAAGAACAGTTTCTGCCAGCCACAACACTAATGAGTACGTTCAAAAGGGTCTTATGTCCATTCACAGAAGAGCCCCAAGACCCCATTTGCTGCCTGTGAAGTCTCGGGGTCCCCCTGTGCCTGAGAGGATGGACCTTTATTTCTGCCATTTCAAAGGTACTTGAACCCTCTGCTATTTCAAAGGTACTTTAACTTTCTGCCATTTCAAAGGTGGTGATTTTCAAATGCAACAAGTGGTGAGGGGCTGTTCTGAACCAGCAGTGAGGACAGTGGAGCGTCTCCCTGCCCGTGAGTGATGGATGGGTGTCGTGCACTGCAGGGCTTCCCCCAGCAAAACTCTCTGTGCCGCTTTGATTACCTTGTCAATCTGTTGGGATCAAGCAGAGATTTGCTTAAACTCATTGCAAACTGCTTCAGCTCCTACCCCTTAGCCAATGGTCCACTGTCAGTGGCTGTGACTGGACCCAGTCCTTTGAGGTTAGAGGGGCCCTTGCCCAGTCACATTGTGTGAAACGAATTTATTTCAGGGAGGTGAGAATAACTGTCAGAAGCAAGTACAGAGTTGTTTTTCAGTTGGATTAAAAAATAATCTATCTGTGGTGCTTCAGGGAGCAGTTTTGTCATGTTTCCAGTGAAGCCTCTTGTATTTGATTTCTCTAATATTTTTGGTAATTGAAAGTTATCCTTATCATCGTCATCATAGGCTTTATCCCATCTTTGCAACAGGGATGCATGTATCACTAGTCCTTCTCTGCAAGATTATTATATTAGTTCCTAAATGCCTTACAGGCATCCTCGTTAAAGCACATTTACTTCAGAGAAGGGGCTGAATCCCTTAAAAACAATCCTGACTAAGGCTGAAATCATTTTAAGTGTGTGCCCTTCAGAGCACGTTTCTTCTGACGTGCAGTGCGTGGCCTGGGTAACTCCCAGTCTGTACCTCTGGCAATGACACTCCAAGTTTGTTGACAGGACACAGGTTAACAGGTACAGAATCAGGCTCTGAACTTTGCTCCTGTGTGTTTTGTGAAATGCTCCGGAAAATGCCCGCTTTCACCATCTCTCACAGGTTTGCTTTCACGTTACAAATTGCATATCTGGAGGTGGGAAAAAACCATGTGCCCTCAGGGATGTTTGTGAGATCCTTTTTAGCAATGACAGAATTATATTTTATGGTCAGTTTTGATGAACACTGGTCTTTTCTAAGTCAAAATGAGAAATATTTTACAGGCAGAGACCAATCCCTATTACTTGAGAGTCACAGTACCCTATTTTGTGTTTTGCATAAATATTGGGTTTGACCCTATTGCAAGAGGTGCCTCAGCTTGCACAGGTGTGTTTCCTGGAGGCATCCATGGACAACCTGGGACATGACCACAGTAGCAGATATTTGTGGACCTTGTCTTAACCATGCCATGTTCCCACTCTGGGCTGGTTGTTTCTTCAAGGAGGTGACACTTGGTAGCCCAGGCTCCTTTTAATGGTATGGAAAAGGAACCTTCTGAGGACTTGGTCTGTTGTGTGCTATGGGAGAAGATGTCTTTCCTCTAAGTTTAGAGTGGATTTTAGCCTTGCTGACCTGCACAGCTCATCTTTTTGGCATGCTCAGCTAATTTATGCTGGTGGTTGAGTCCCTTAATCCTCCCCAGAAGCTCCTTGCATCCATTTTGTTGAGGAACCATCGCTCAGAGTGATGCAGGAAGGCACTGATAGGAGGTTGTGTGAAGGAAGCTTAGCAAGCAGATTTGAATGAGCACGTGAGTGCTGTCATTCCTTCCTCCTGCTTTCCGGAGATACTTATCACATTTGAAGAGGAACAATAAAGGTTTTGAATACTTGGACTAAGAAATAGTTCTGGAACTTGAGCACAGAAAAGCTTAACCTCTATGAGGTGCTTCTTCACAGTTAGCTGATATAGGCAATGCACAGTTGAACCCTGTCAGCTGCAGAGCAAGGGGCTGCTGCTGGCTGGAAACCCACTGCCTCAAATGGGACACCAGTGAGGACCTGGCAAGGCAATCCCAGTAATGTCACTTGGCCTACTTATGGGTGTCAGAAACAAAGACATTAAAAGACTTTGCAATCTATGGGTAGATATGTTCTGCCAGTGATTGTTACCTGCCTGGCTCTCCCATTCCCAAAGATTAATAAATGGGATGCAGGGTTGCAACTGGCAGAGGAGAACATAGTTCCTCTGCTTGGATCATCCTTTTTCCTCATGTCTTTTTCTAGTATGACACAGGTGTTTGCAGTAAAATGTCTTCCTGTTTTCTGTGCACTGACTTTTGGTTCTGTGGGGCTGCTCAATATATCCAGTCACCTCTCAGCAGTCATGGAGTGGTGATGGAAGGGACCTTCAGAGGGCTAAAGGTGCTGTGCCTCCAAAATCTCCCTGTGTCAATAGGCACAGAGCACTGTAGCCAGCTCACATGACTAGACATAAATCATATAAGCAAAAAAAGTTCAAGGAAGAGCAGTGGAATCGTGGAAAGTCAGAACCATCATGTGGGCTCCTATTTATGCAATGTAGGGTGAGTTAAAAGTAAAAAAATACTAGTTCATATGAAATAATTATTTATAGAGAATTAAAAATTCTTTATTCTGTTGGGGGGGTGGTTCTCACGGGCTGGAGAAAGGGCAGCACTGCAGTCTGCAGCATGCCTTGTTTTATGGAGCGTGTCAGGAAGGGGTTCATTTACTCGATGAATTCAGGATCCAGTTTGACTCTGAAATGGCTAGTTTTGGGGAGGGGAAAGCCACTTTATTGGCTTCTGGGGATTGCCTGATGTTCTCTGAACTCCAGCAAAAATTTCTTAGCACAGCCATCGCTTCTGTGTCGTTGCAATTAACAGACAAAGCAAACAACAAGTTTGCACAGATGTACAACGGGGGGTTCTGAACAAAGGGGTAGGACTAGATCCACTAGAGCCTAGTGCACATTGTTGTGTCAAATAAAAATCCCCATGATTCACAGCCTAAAACCATAATTAGAGGGCAGTTCTGAAAAATGGCACGCAAACTGAAAATGTGGGCAACTCTGGTATGCTGCCTGATCTACTCTTCTTGGTTTCCTTCCCTCCAACCCCTTTCAGAGGAGTGGTGTGTGATCTGCCAGGGCTATGTGAGAGCTGGGGTGGCTTGTCCCCAGAGCTGCTGAGCTGCCTGGATCCCAGCAAGCTCATTTGACAGCTGTGACATCTAAACTGTCTATGAATAAGAGTAGGAATGAAAGAGAGAAGACCAGACATTTGAAGAGCTGCTTGTCCCTGATTAAGTGTTTGGTGAGCAATGGAGAGCAAGAGCTCTGGGGTTGTGACTGGTGACTTCCTAAGCATATTTGTGTCACAAGAGGCACATGCTGGAGAAGATGCAGAAGGTGGCCTTTGCTTCAGGTGGTCTATGAAATGCCTTTGGCTTATAGGGGTATGTAGTACAAGCACTGTTAGGGATGTTGTTTTGGGCCACAGCAGGGAAATCAGTTTAACTTTAGAGACACCTTCAGCTCCTGCCCTGTTGGCCATCTGCTCTGACACCTCCTTGAGCTTTGCTCATGGAGGCTTTCTGGTTGGATTTCAGAACCTGGGAAGAAATCAACTTGTCAGTCCCCCACCTCTGTGCTGTGTGTCTGGGATCAAACCATTCACCTGCAAGATGCAACCTCGTGCAGTTGGCCAACAGCAAACCCACAGTCGCCTGGTCTTGAGCAGAGCTCACTTCCTGTCTCTGACACCTGTAATTAGAGACAAGCCTGGGAGAAACACGACTGATTTCTTGAAGAGCTCATCTGGAGGATCAGGAAGGACAGATGGCTTCAGTACAAGCTCTGAGGCCGGCTTAAGCTGGGTGTAGTCAACCCTCAGGCTTGACCCTAGATGTCAGTGTAAACAGATCTTCTGGGCACTCTCATTATTGAAAGCAAGGGCAGAACTGCAAGTCCCTACCTGTGAGTGCTTAAAACTGAGCCAGCCCAGACTGGGCAGGTAGGGCTGAGCTGCCTCCTGCAGCTGTTTGGGAGCAGCCTCGGCCTTGTCTGGATGAGAATGGAGAACTTGCTCAGCCCTGAGCCTGGCAGGGACCTGCAGTGTGGCAGCTGGTGGGTGAGACCACTGCAAGGCAAGGGCACCAGCCACCATGGGCAGCAGAATAGCAAGGCTGGGCTGAGGCAGTGCAGGGTTAAGTGGGCTTGTGCTGAGCAGAGGATCAGCAGGTCACAGCATCCTGTGAGAGAGTCCCCAGAGATGCTGATGCTGTTCCTTATGAAGCAAGAAGGCAGGACCTTTGGTCCTGGTGCTGCCCTCCCCCAGACAAGGGCTCTTCTGTTTGAGTGGGATGTACATCTGCCCCAGCACAGGCCCCCTTGTCCTTCTGCTAAAGAGCAATCAGCCTGGGAGGGCAGCAGATGACACATGGTAGTGGTAAATGACTCCTGAACATGTTTCTGCCTGGTGCTGTGATTACTGTCTCTGTTCTGGGCATGCCACATGTTGTATCATCCTGAGCACCTTTGGTTTCTCACCTTTCTTCCTCCTGTCTCTCCTGGACAGCTTTGCGCCCTCTGGAGCTGGGTCAGACAAGTGTGTAGAGTTTCTATTGGCTGTCATGTGGGTTGTGTTTAGCACGTCCTGTGAGTGCTAGAGCGTGTGGTTTCCTTCAGCATCTCCCCGCAGCTCTGCTGACACAGTCAGCTCTCCTAGAACCCTTCCTGTTTTCTAGGATTTTCTCTTCTAGGTAAAGTTTCTATATTATGATGCCTGTTTTGGTTTTATATATTCATTTATGGCTTTTTATAGAAGAGTTGCAAGGAGAAAAGTTGAGCTCCAAGAATGAACCTAAACCTCCACCATCTAAACACAGTGTCTGAGAGTTAAGTTTCTTGAAAGGGAGATCTAGAAAATCCATGTGCTTAGCAAGAAGCCACCTGGAAATCGTCAGGAAACATTGTGTGGGTGTGCCTGAAACCCTTCTAACCCCTGGAGCTGATTTAAGGCTTCAGACAAGTGCTCATCCATTCTGGATCTAGACCCATCTTGTAAGGTTGGGACAGGCAGCGCTGCTTCCATCAGGAGAGGTACTGCCTTTGCTGTCATAGGCTCTTGGCAACCCCAGCCCTGCATCAACCAGGAGACTTGCTTTCAATTTTTCCTGTCAGGCCAGGC